GCAGCAGAGGACTGAACAATTGGCCTGTATACACAGCCAACAGCATAATGACTTCTCCTTCATACATGGAGATTACGTCATCTGCTGTGGATGGTACAGGGAAGTCTAAACTAATAACCTGCCCTTTACTTTGACATACAGTTGCCTTAAGCAACGTCTACTTAAAATGAGCCACTTCTATATTAGGCTCATTGCTATACTGGCATGTACATTTGTAGGAAAATGTGCCTCTAAGGTTTTAAAACCAGATATGTTAACTTTTTTTGTCACAAAAGTATGCAGTATTGCCTGGGGCATTTACGCTTGTCACTTGCTGCACATGGTAAGAGTCCAGCAAGGCGCCATACACATTTTTGTTTTTAATTCTTGAGCTTTCAGACACTTTCTACACTCATTGAAAAATGTCGGAGGCGCCTTACAGTGCCGTATACAACAGTGGCCCTCCTTGCAATTCCTTTAACTTGTAGGCATGCCTAGAATTGTGCCTGCTGTATAGAAGTGCAACTCTGTTGAAAAATGAAGTGAATGCAGGTGAGTATCCACTGCGGTGAGTGTGACATCATTTAGCAAAGCATGGATGTACCCACTTAACGTGAACCTTTACCTAATTTCACTAAAAATCACAGCAGCATGCTGATTTAAAATCCATCTTGCATTCATTAGTAAAGCAAACATGTTTTGTCATTTAGTTGCAAATATAGTTCATATTTCCTGGTCCAGTTCTGGTACAAATGATGTAATGTAACAATGTTGCATTCTGGGAAGGTTACATCAGCAGAGCATTGCAGGGAAATCTCATCTGTAGCCTCATGAGATCTCAGGGAAAGGCATTTTCCTTCCCTGAGGCGATGTGCATGGTCACATGTGCCAGAGTTCCAGGAAGTAAAGGGAGAGCTAGTAACCTGCCCTCAGTAAACATGGCCACTGTCAGAAGACTCGGGAAGAAAAGAGAAATAAGGTATGCCAAGAATACAAAACCGGCAATTATCTAGAAGTATGTGTTTGTAGATTGTCATTACTAAACATTTCTGAAGGTGTGGGTTTTGTTTTTTTTAAAGAAATTGGTAAAGTTCCTCTTTTTTTTTTTTTAAGGTTTTTTTTTATTTTTCAAATGGATGGGTCTTTTAAAAGAAAATACTCTGACTTGAATGGCCCCTGTTGGGTCACATCGTTTTGCTTGATGAAGGGAACGCATTTGGCTCCGAAACATTGCGATTGATTATGACACCATGTTTATCTGAACGTCAATCGATAAAGTGGATCTCCGTGTTCTGGAACCTCATTCCTTTTCCACTCAAATAAGGTCTCTGCAAATTGTTGGGTTGTTAGGGGGAAAATTCCAACTTCGACGGACCCCTGTGGGACCTAAGACCAACAGAGGAATGAAAAAGAAACCAAGAGAGGAGTAGGAAAGGGGTAGAAGAGAACAGGGTGAAAGAAAACATGGATGGAAGGGGTAGAAAGGTGAGGCAGGAAGGATCTACGAGGGACCAGAGATGGACTGGTGCAAACACCACAAAGGCCCGAACCCTAGGACCACATTTACCTGGGACCTAACGGCTCATATACTATTTGAGTCTTATTGGGAGATGGTAGGTCATCCACAGGGGCCAAACCTTTTCAAGTTTGGTGATCTTGTCCTGTAGGATAGCCGCAAGTTTCTCACTTTGGTCCATGTACCACACCGTTTTCTGACGCCATACATGTTTGGATTTAAAGTGCAATTAAAGTCTCTTGCATGAACTTCTTCCCAAATCCAGTTTTACATGTCGTTCAAGCCCCATAAGGTAAACCAAAACTTCCTTAACCTGCCCTGATGGAGTCAAATGTTTGTGTCTCGCATGCTCCCCCCCAGACACTGCAGGCCACTTCTAATTGTTGCAACATCATACAAATAAGATTTTTCATAGTTTGTTTTTCGCAGTAGATGTAGAACATTGTGCTCTCCCTTTGCTATACTCGGGAGAGTAGATGAGTTAATTGAACATTTCACAGTAGGAAAAAAGGTTAAATAGTCTCCATATAGGTATTTTAGTGTATTACAGGGTATTCAAATGCTTATTAAAATTTACAGCTGATTCCTAACTTTTAAAGTTTTCTCTGTAGTTGTCAATGGCGCTGCTCCCGCCCCGCCCCATAAAGCAGATATATGCATCTGATCATCAGTCTCCGCTTGGCTACTAGTCTGAGCGCCGCAGCCTCTTCTCCCTTGATGTCATCAGGTCTCATGCAGGTCCATTGACTTGTAGGATGCCAAGGGACATTTCAGAGGGGGAGGAGAGAGGTGCTGCCCATTCTAGGGCCAAAGGGTGAGTATCTGGTTTATTTGAGCCCCCGTGACAAAACGAGAACTAAGTGTCATCATTAAACCTTGCTCGTGTTTTTTTTTTTTTTGTATGGAGATGGGGCACAGATGGTATGCTGCTTTTTTTTAATTTTTTTTTTTTTTTATGTTTCAATTCCTTGTGTTCTAGTGGGTCCTCCCATCACTGTCTCCCCTGCATCCCCCCCTTCCCCGCACTGGTGCCTACACCACCTAAGCGGCTGCTGTGGAGGCAACTATGCATGCTCGTTCCCAGCTGTGCTAGCAGTGGCTGTGTGCCTCCATAGATACCCACGCCCCTCTTCGCCCAACAGGTTGACGACAGAAGGAGCCTATGGCTCCTCTGTCCTCAATCTCCTTCCCCGCAACCAGGAAGTTCGGGCCGGAGGATAACAAAGCTGCTGGGCACTTTTTACCTTAATGCATAGAATGTATTTAGGTAAAAGAATGCCCTGCCTTTTTATTACTACTTTTATCCTTTTTTTTTAAATTTATTATTGCAAAGTTCTTCATTAAAGCTGAACATCAAAATGAACTAAGCAACAGAATCAATTAATTGGCAACTCCCAACAGCCACATATACTCTCCTTCTGTTCGGTCACCAGCTGCTCCATTTGGCCACTGGGAGCAAAGGAAAATACCTGGTTCACCCTGATATAGGGGAGCGTGTGACTGGCTCGCCTTCATCCCATGTGATAGTGCTCCTGCTTGTTGGTTGGATTCTCTGACACCAGCACTGTCACATGGGGTGCCACCCCCACCCCACCTGTGTGTAAGCTCCCCATTTTTCCTTTTCTTGGCTTCCAATGGGCAAACACAATTCTAAGGAGTGAAAGAAAATGTAGTCGGCTGATGGGGCCACCATTACAGTGAATGTTGTTTTGGCCTGCTTGGGCAATGCACAGGTTCATGTCAATCTTGGTAACTTTCAGTAGTAAAAAAAAAAAACCCACAAAACTGGCAAAGCTCTGTGCATAGACTTGTACTGAAGGAGAGGTTAAGTGCATTGCGCAACTATACAGGAAGTCCAGCATACTTTTATAATGGAGTGTATACTAACGCATACCTTGCATATTTCTATAAATAGAAATGTGCTTTTAACAGTTGTTTACATAAAGCCGATCATGCTTGCTCATCTACTTGATGTACTTTAAAAATGTTGATGGTTTTCAAATGAAAACATCATATTTAATGGTTATTTAATGTTTTTCTTTGCATATAAAGGATAAGTGCACTTTACAATAAAGGATGAGTGCGCTTTAAAACAATCACTTATCCTTTTGGCCCCTTTAAGCTGATCTAACCAATATCGCCATCCCTCATCACAGAGGCATTCTTACTGCGTTCTGATTGGTCTGGCCTTCATTGTTTGTTTTCTTTACATCCTGCGTAAAGTCTTCCTATCCTAACCTAACCTGTGCAGTACATGCCTATTGATTTCTATGGGGCTTGTCTACCTCTGTCTAAATGGGAAGCTCCTGTGTTTCTGGTTGAGGATCATCACTCACTGCTTAGCTGTTTGTAGACTTGTGTGTGATGATGCAATATGTGTTGTACTATAAATTCTAACTAGTGCAAGCCCGTTAAGTCCTTGGTTGACCTGGACTTATTCACCCTTGTAAATTTAACTTGCATTGGAATCAAGGGTCTTGGGACAGTCGGCAAGAACATCACATGGCGGTCATCGTTATTATAAGGATTATACTGGGACTGGTGTGTGTGTCGGTAAACTGTGTACTGTTTGATGGGTGAGAGCTGGAGCATTTGTATGACATATTTCATTATAGGTGGGAGCCTTGCAGGCCATACCTTCTCCAGGGTCCCATAGCAGCTGCAATGCTTAATATTGCTGTAGACATACCTTTTAATACAAAAGACCCTACCAGGGAAGCAATTCCTGGGGTTTACAGTGCTGACCTGTGCACTCTGCAGTGTGATCTCAAGCAATGTTATCGGCCCTGTCCAGTTCAGTGCCAGAGACCACAGATCACCTCCTCCCTATGCTATGGAGATGCGAACGAGGGATGCTTTGTAGTCCTAACACTTCCTGTCCAATGCTGGGCGACAACGTTGCCATTCTATAAAATACAGTACAGAGAATCAACGTTGTCACCCTAGGACAGGGAGTGTTACTGGCACAATCATTTAGGCAAAATGGTGGGGGGTGGTTAGGCTGAGAAGAGAAAATGAATGCAGCCATCACATCTAAGGGCTGGTTAGCTGCAAAATATTTACGTTTTCATCTTTTAAATTTAGATTTTCAGAAGTTTCCATGAAATGTTCTCGAAGCTGTTCATGCTAATATACTTCGTTACTCCTCCCACTGGATGTCGTTTTCACTAAAAGAAAAATGTCTTTTTTTTTTTTTTTTTTTTTTTTTTTTTTTTT